CTTACAAACATCTTTTTAATAAAATATACCTGTATGGATGATGTCACACCAGGTATAGCCACAAAGAGCATTTTGAGTGAGTTTTGCTTAATCCACCTGCTGCATTCCTAGCATGCAGTTCCAGAACTTTCTTTCTTGTGCTTATAAATGGGAATGCTATCAATTTTAATACACTAAACCAACCTGTTCCAGAACTTTCTCTCTTGTGCTTATAAATGGGAATGCTATCAATTTTAATACACTAAACCAACCTGAATGCAAGAAACTATTCATTCTTCTTCTAAAGATAATAGACCATAGAATCAAAACCCTAGGTTGGAAGGGACCTTGTAGATACAAGGTCCCTTCTGCTGTGGTCAGGGATCCTTTTCACTATACCAGGTTACTCAGAGTCCCATCCAGCCTGGCCTTTGAACTCTTCCAGGAATGGGGCAGCCACAGCTTTTGTAGAAAACCTGTGCCAGGGCTTCACCACCCTCACAGGGAAGAATTTCTTCCTAATCTCTGATTTAATCCTATTCTCTGTCAGTTTGAAGCTGTTGCCCTTGTCCTGTCACTCCAGACCCTTGTAAATAGTCTATTTCAATATTTGAGCTCCCTTCAGGCACTGGAAGGCCACAATTAGGTCACCCCAAAATCTTCTCTTTTCCAGGCTGAACAATCCCAGTTCTCCCAGCCTCTCCTCCCAGCAGAGCTGCTCCATCCCTCTGCTCCCCTCGGTGCTCCTCTGGCCTGGCTGCAGCAGGTCCCTGTCCTTGCTGTGCTGGAGCCCAGAGCTGGATGAGGCACTGCAGGTTGGGATGGATTCCTTTATTGTGTCTATCTGCATGTGCACACCCACAAACATGTCTGTGTTCACATATTTCTATTCATTTCCTAACTAGAAAAAAAAAAAAAAAAGGTCCTACTATGCTTTCAATTGCTTGTAAATCTGTCATACTGCTTCAACAAGCTTAATATTGACTTGTTTGCTTGACTTTATTGACTTTTTCCTGCAGCAGTCCTTTTTTCCAAGAATATATTGTTGCTTTCAGATTACTTTACATCACATTTCAAAAATAACCTGATGAGATAAATCAGCATTGTTGGAGATGTAGCTGAACATATGTCACATATTTCACTGTTATACACACACGCACAAACACACACACACACACACACACACACACACACACACACACATATATATATATATATATACACATACATATATATATATACACACATATGTATGTATATAAGATTTTCCATGTTATTCTTACTAAGTTTTACTGGAAAGAAAGCATAGATTATGACAAAATTGATCTGACATGTGAAGGATGAACAGAGGTACATGATCTGACATCTACAAGATTACAATGAAAAAGTCAATGACTTCCTTTTAAACTCATTTGGAATACTATTAATCTTACAAAGAAATTATATTCTTCCAAATGTATTTTTTAGTTCAGTATCTCTAACTTCTCTGCAAGCCTTACTCATGGCAATGGCTTTGTTCATAGACCTGGATTACAAATCCCTTTAAGAAAAATTAAAGCTCAGCTTTTAAGATCTGTTTCATCTAAGTTGTTGTCTTTTTTGGGGGGGATTTTTGTGACTTTGTTTTTTTTTTTTTTCCTTTACCTTTCTAATTCTGTTCTTCAAGCTTTCTGTCATGGCTAATATTCTTACTAGCATTGTAATTGATCTCCTGCTAATTTTTTTCTTTGTGCATTTCAGGCACACTCCATTAGCTCATTCTTCTTAAGCTTGATAAAACTTTTCCCTGTGCCAGACTGTTAGCTCTTTTAAGGCTTATTTTCATACAAAAATAATACCAATATAATTATATGGATATAGTTAACACAGTACAGTTCCTTCAAATTGGCACAGCTGTTCTGTTATACATTTAAGCCAACAGAGATGCTTCTTTAGGCACTGCTATGTGACAAATTCTACACATAATTTTATATTACTGGTTTTACTGGAAAATGAACAGTTTCTGTAGAAAATTGTACCCTTAACCAATTTAATTATGCCAGAATGAAATCTAATAATAGACATCTATTTTCTTTGGCTTCAATCCTGCAATAAACAAAAGATCAAGCTCTATATTTGATTACACAAAGGACTATATCCATAAAAATGAAATTATTAGCATCATGGGAAAAAGTATTCTCATCAAAGAGAGTGAATAGGCCCAGCCTTCTGCTATTATGAAATATAGCCTTTCCATAGCTGTGTATAGAGAGGTTTAATTTTATACCTCTGCAGTGCTAAATGACAGTGTTTAGCATCTTATTACAGCAAAGATGAGCATGATTAATACTTCTGCACAGAAAGGAGACCATGCCAGGATCACACTTCACACTGAGTAATGAGTTCCCCTTTGACTGTGAGGCAGAATTTCCTTATGCGTTATATGGGAGTCTTGGAAGATTAAGCCATGATTCCACTGAGGGCAACCAGGGAAGCCTCTCTGCCTCTTATGAAGCCCGCTGTTTCTTTTTAATAACAAAGGAAAAACTTGCATATTTTTTTACAATATATATATTCACAGTGGTGATATATTTTTTCTGTACAATGTTTAAGCATGTTTTCTTCTAAAAGTGCTTCATTCAAATAATATTAAGAGTATAGTACATATTTGTGTTCAGCTTTCAAATTTATTTGGAGACTAATTTAAACTGCTAATTAATTGTTTTGTTCATTACAGAAAATAATGAGTTTATTACAGAATCTCTAAAGCAACTAGAGTGCTTGGAGGAATTACTCTTTGGATATATTTACATAAAATAACTACTAAAATTATTCTGTGCTCTATTATAGATCCTAGTAGTATTATGTTTTTGTGAGGCATTTAAAAATAAATTAATATAAAAAATATCAGGAATTAAGGTTTAAAGAATGTCAGTTGACATTCTGAAGTATATTAAAGCATTACATTATATCCCCTTGCTATGCTTTACTAGAGAAAACAAAATATTACAAAAATATTCACATAACACAGTTGTTAGCAAGAACTTAGTAGTAAAGAAATATTAGTCTTCCTGAATGGATTTAATTGCAAGTCATGAGCATAACTCATGATTGGCAAAAAACAATGAAATGTTTTTTTTTTCCCTTATGCTTTTGAAAGATTTCATTTTGTAACTTCTACTTTTTGTTAAGTACCTTTAAGAATTCAGTAAAATAAGGAAAACTTCAATATATTAGGATTGAAATTAATTTAAATTATTTAGATTCAAAGCCCAAACATATAAAATTGAAATAACAGGCCTGTTATACTGTGAGTTCATAAATCCCAGACACAGAACAGAGGACCTTGGGACCTGTATGTTTTAGTGAAAAATTACCCCTGAAATTTTAAATCCCTTATAGAAGTATTACTTATCCCGGAAACGAACAGGGTTTCTTGACAGGAGTGGGATTACAAGCTAAGGGTTTGTAAAGGTGTTACCTGAGCAATCTGAAGACACAGTTTTAATCTTCTTAGTTGAGGCAAGAAAATCAACTGCCCATCAAATTTTATGGTGCTTTTAGTTTAGTTTATTTTACTTCCCTAAAGCATGAAATTAAAAAGGAACAAGTGAAACTCAACTTCTCTCTTGTTTATGGGATTTTTATCTTTTTTTTTTTTTTGCATTTTTTGTGGTAACATAAAGAGCAGCAAATAGGATAAAAGAAGTCCATGACTGTTTCCATGGCTGTCATCAGCAAGGATTTCAAGAAGTGAGGTAAGAGATGTTCTTCATGCAGGTGTGGATCAAGGCCGTGCACATATTGCACGGCACATGTGGTCTTATGGCTGTGCACCTCATAATATGGAAATATTTGGAATTGCAAACTCATCTGCAGAATTTTATATCTTATGGAATCAAGTTCTATTCCTGAACACAGTAGCAACAATTTTGAACGGAGAAACATGTAAATGTGTTTTGCTATTTGCCCTTGCAGGGAGATACATAGCAAATACAGCACAGGATTTAGTTATTGCCAAAGAAAAACATGGTAAGGGTTGCTGCTACTTTTCACTTGTTGATAAAGAATTTTTAATTTCTTCATGATCCACCCTTTTTGGGTTCTTTATTTTTCACACATGTAAAACTCTTCAAGGCCAGTTGAAATGCAAACTAGTTGGTAAGGGCTCATAATTCATATCACATAGCAGTGTTTTCAAACTTTGTATAGTTTGCAGTAAAATCCAAGAGCTGAGAGTTCATCAATCACCTGTTTAATTGCCTGTAACAAACATTCAGGCAGCAAGAGGAAGAAAGTGAAAGGAGGGAGTACATCATCAACATAAACTGCAATCAGGCTGTTCTGTTATCCTTATCTAGTACAGTGCTATCCATTCCTGTACTCAGGAGCAGGTTGGGAAAAGAAAAACCCATGACTGCTGTAAAGATTCTTCCTGCATATATACTCTTGAAGTTTGTATATTTGATACTTTTATGACACCTCACCTGCAATGTTACATTCAGCACAGCAAGGACAGGGACCTGCTGCAGCCAGGCCAGAGGAGCACCGAGGGGAGCAGAGGGATGGAGCAGCTCTGCTGGGAGGAGAGGCTGGGAGAACTGGGATTGTTCAGCCTGGAAAAGAGAAGGTTCTGGGGTGACCTAATTGTGACCTTCCAGTGTCCAAAGGGAGGCCAAGGGAAATATTGAAATAGACTATTTACAAGGGTCTGGAGTGACAGGACAAGGGCAACAGCTTCAAACTGACAGAGAATAGGATTAAATCAGAGATTAGGAAGAAATTCTTCCCTGTGAGGGTGGTGATGTAGCTGAATATATGTCACATATGTCACACAGGTTTTCTACAGAAGCTGTGGCTGCCCCATCCCTGGAAGTGTTCAAGGCCAGGCTGGATGGGACTCTGAGCAATCTGGGATAGTGGAAAGTGTCCCTGCTCATGGCAACAGAGTTAACAAAATGGCCTTAAGACTCTTTCCAACCCAAACCATTCTGTGATTCTGTGAAGTACAGAATTTTATAATTGCAGTGTTTTTCTTGCAGGATTTCTTTTCCTTTAGGAATATGTAGAAGAATGGTGTTAAAACAATGATGCTTGCAAGCATTTTACATATTTTAAATTATTACTTAAGGAATTGATGTGGAGCATTCAAGATGATGGACACGAACTAAAGATCATGGTAGGTACTGACTAGCCTTAAATGTTATCTGTTTGCTAGGATGAATAGTTTGCATTATTTCTATGTTTTCCCAAGGGGACTGGCAGAAAGAAATTTCTGTATGGAAATTCAAGTACTCAGGGGTACCTAAAGAACTCCAGGGAATTTTCAATTAGTTTTCATCATAGTTGTATCTCTGGAGAACTGTGTGCAAATATAAATCCCTGGAAACAACTCACACCACTTTGCATTGTTCTGTTCTATTGTGATAAGAAAATGATATGTTTGGCGGCATAGAAAGCTTGGAGGTCAGTAAAAGAAAACAACAAGAAGAAGAAAACAAACAACCCCCCATTTAATTAAAAGAGTAGACAACTCAAAAAACATTGCTTCTAAAATAATTACTACTTTCAAGAAACTTCTGTCCAACTTTCAGTATATAAGTGTGTTCCTTAAATGAAATTGAAATTGAAAACACTGGAATTGAGAACCGACAGATATCAATCTTTTTGAATCACTAGAACTTTCACCTTTGAAGTTTAGCACTCCAGCTTTTCTGAGAGAAAGAATAGTCCTTGAGATAGCAATCATAATTAATGCTGCAATAATTAAGTTGACACTGAAGGTTTTCTGTAATGTTTTTATCTTGAAATCATGTCATGGAAATTCAGATACTAATTGCCATTATTTAAATATGAATTAAGCATGAAAGCTTTCAATACTGATGAAAATCCCAAATTAAACAAAGCTTGTATCTTTTATGTATGCTGTAAACCACAAGTCTATAAAACTAGAAGTGATATAAAACAAGAAGTCTGTCTAAAAATATTGACTGTCCATCAATTGAACTATTGATTTCTAGATATTCTAGCAGGTCATTTCCACAGCTAGAGAAAATGAAATCTTTTGGACCAATTCCCTTTTTCATACTTTCCCTGCCTAGACTTTATTCCTTATATGAACACTCTTTATTTAAAACAACAACAACAAAAAAAAATCTGTCCAGTAATCCACTTCTCCTAGGACTAGCTGCAATGTATAAAACTTCCAAAAAAACCTGCTACTAAATATGTAAATTTATAGCAAATAGGATTTTAACTATCTGCTTATGGTTAGATGTTTGTTATGTTTTTTGAAGTTTATTACTGAGACTGTAACAAAATGTTTCAATCTTCTATATTTTATGACATAAAAATCTAAGATAAAAGTTTTCCTTAACTGTTTTTATGTGAACAAACCAGGATCATCCCTTTCAGAAATGAGCTCTTTCAGTTTTGAAAATATTTAATCAGAAAAATATAAATGAGCAACTCTGATACAGCCAGGACTAACATATAGATAAGATTTAATTCTAAATATTACCATTCTTTCATAGGGATGTAACTGCAATATAACTGTAATAAAAAGACTGAAAGTATTCTAGAATGAAAGGAACCAAGTGAAAATTTGTTCTTTCTTTCTCTGATTCCTCTTTGGATGTGTAAATGTGAAATTTTGTTTTTTCTTTCTTTGAAGCAGACAGATTGCCTAGCTACCTGCTTTTGGCACTTTTCTGTTTGATCTTATATGGAAAAAATAAATTGAATAAATTGAAATACATTCTAAATTAGTATTTTCAAAATCTTGTTCTCCCTCCATATGCCCAAAGATTATAATCTACCGGGATTATTTCTCCTTTACAATACTACCAGGAAAGCATTCTTGTCTTAAGAAAGAAGATAATTAGCCATGAGAATGTGTTCTATATCTACTCCAGCTAAGGCTTTTGTGGGGCTGGAAGGGAATTTCTGCTCCAACACCTGGAACACCTCTCCTTCTTCATTCCACCTTTGTACTATCACAGTTCACATGACACCACTCTCTGCCAGGTCCCTTATGCCTAATTATACAGACACACAAACATTAACAATATAGTGTCTCAATAATACTTGTTTAGAATGAAGTGAACCTCCAAACCTCCAAGAATTGGTCCAGTTAATATCCAAACTGCAGGCAGCATTTGTATTCTGGGAAGTCAGCAATAACATAACCTTTTCACTGTTAGAGAGTCTTTTAGCATCAAAAAAAACTATGCATGTGTATGTTTGCATTTTAATAAGTTTCCATATGTGGTATATTCAGTATGGATGTGTCCAAATACCAGGTCAAGAAAAATACATGGCAGCACATGATGCCACTAGAAAATAGTAATCATCCCTTTCCACAGTCTTCAGGCAGAAAATACAGCAATTCAAATTCAATTTTTCCTCTTTTTTTTCTTAATTTAAAAAGACTTTATCTTTCCATTTTCCTTTTAGATTTGTATGTAAGTGCTCAAGCCTGCAGCGTCAGCTTTACGAACCATTAATGCACAATTGTCCTGCACAAGTTATCACAAGTTTGTATTTACTTGCTCTTTTTGCTCCCTGAAAAGTAATACATGCCATAATCCAGAGAGAGGAATCCTGCCTGTGAAAGATTGTTCTGGATTTGTTCATACTGCAGTTCTGAAGAATCCTATCAGTAACTGAGAGTTTTCAATTAATTACTCAATTGGGAAATACTTGTATTTGCATTCAATAAAATATGAATAAAATTTGTATTCAATAAAATATGGTCTTAATTTTCAGAGTGAAGAACTCTTGCCTGGGCTGGCTGAACAGCCAAACAAGCATTTAAAATTTCTATGCTAGAGTGAAGTTTGGTTGGCAATGATTCATGGGGTCTTGTTATCATTCAGACTATCTCAGAAATTTCGTATCTAAATGCTTACATACCTTGCATATGGGTAGGAGTCTAAAAATAGATGCACCTGTTGATGCATCTAGTAATGCCTGTAAATGCATTTGCAATTAAAACAGTTTTTCTAATGACATTTAACCTGCTTTCATTTTTTTCTGCATCTCATTGTGTAACTGTGAAGAGCTCCTGTGACTGCTGCCTGCTACTCCGAACATCTAAGCTGCAACATTTGCCTATCATTATCTCATCTTGATTTTCCAATTAGTCTCTTCTCTTGACAGCTTAATGCCTTGTTCTACCTACATCCTCAAAAAAAACTGTGGTATGCCTCTGGTATTTCAGAGTACATAACTCTGGGATTTACCCAAGGAAGGATTTTATGACACCTTAGGTATAAACAATTTTCATGACCATGATATGTAGAATCAGAAAGTATGAAAATGCAAACCTTCAAATTAACTCCTCAAATTAACTTCAGATGAGAGGGATTAGGAATATTCACCCTTACATAGATAGACGTCACCTCTACTTTATTAGTTACCCAGCTTCGCCAAGCTGGATATTATCTTAATGTACCTTAAATTATTACCTTTATTCTCTGTAGTTGCATAGTCTCTCATTGTATATTCCTTAAAATCCACATTGTAAGCCACCTGAGGTGAAGTTTGTTTTTATTTTTTCTTTGTTTGAACAATTCTTGGTATAACATACCTCTAAACCTGGCTTGCATTCTTTTGTGTTATCACAGGAAAAATCAAATTCCTTCCTATACCTTTGGAACAGGAAGCAGTATTTCCCACCACTTGGGAATTTTCTGATGTTGAGTTTGAAACTAGGACATATTTTAGGAATTTATTAACTTCACTGCTTTTTGAAGTACCAAAGTGTCTTCTCATGGTTGCTTCGTCCACTCATCTGATTAAGTTAATATGACATAAAATTTTCCTCAATTTATTAAAGACTTCTAGACCTTACCAGATACAATGCACTAAATGTGAACAGTTGCTTACTGTTGATTATTTAGGGACAGTTTAAAATGTTCAGACACCTACAACTCTTTCTAGCTCCTAACTTCTCATTGATTTTCACGTTGGACACTTCATTCACAATCGACATTGCTCATAGTTAAATATCCTGTTCTTCTGCCAGCATGGATTTAAGTTGAGTTAGGTCTTTTGTGTTAAGTGACTAACTAGATATGATGGGGAGGTGGAGCTGGGGGTGGTGACAATTGGTGTCCCTCTGATCCAGGAGGACAATCCATCTTCACGCAGCCCAGCCCAAGCTGCCATCACACTCAAGGTCCCTCAGATGGAGGCTAAATGGATGACACTATTTTTCACAACCATTTGTCAAGGTTCTCTTTAAAACAAAATAATAAAAAAAACCAAAACAAACCCCCCCCAAAAAACCCAACCAAACAAAAACACACATAACCCTCCCCCCCACCCCCAACATAAAGGGCTTGATTTTTATATCTCCATTAAATTTCACACAGTAAGAACACATCAGCTTTGCAATGTGCTACTGAGAGCAGGGTGATATTTCCCTGGAAGTTATTGGGCCCAGCCGCATACCCAGATATGTATAATCAACCTTTGGTGTTAGTTCTGTCTGATATCTAAAGCAAGGTGCTGGCTGGATGACCTGAGTGCAGCCCATCCCAAGATAGTCAGCGCTATGTTCTTGTCGATCATCTCCATATGCCTTTTCAACAAACTTATTGATAGATGAAAAGAAGTTATAAAGCCCAAAGTGGTAAATCATTTGCATAACATCTTTATAATCTGGAAAGGTACAAATTCACCTACATGTCTTGAAACTGCTATTGTAAAATAATGTCTGAATTTAGCCAGACAAAAATTTAAAAATAAAAGCAATAGGCTTTTCTGTTAAAAGTTAAAAAGGTCTTCTACCAATTATTTTACCAGTTACATTCTCAAATTAGTCAAGCTAATGTTCTTTATTTTATCATCATCTCTATTTGCCAAGGTGAGTTTCCATAATGATGATTAGTAATATGAAGGCACCTATGTCTGTGAGACCTTTCCTAAATGCTATATGTGTTTAATGTTACAAATGGTGCTATTCCAGAAACAGAAAAAAAACCCAAAACTTTTTCTTCTTAAGGAACTATATTTGAATGTAACTTACTATATCTGGAAGCAGAAAAAATAGCTTTTTACTTCAGTGTTGCAATGGCTTTAAAAGCTGTTGTGATACAATAAAAACTTAGAGCTAAGTGCAACAGCACCCATCTAAACTGTATGCTGATGAATTCTATGGATTCATAGAATATTAGAATAGTCGGAAGGGTCTCTTAAAAGTCATCTTGTCCAATCCTGGTGTAATAATCAGGGCTACTCAGAGCCTTTCCAATCTTACCTTGAATGTTTCCAGAGATGGGGTATCTCTGGATCAACATCTCTGAGCAATCTTCTACGGTGTTGTACCATGCTCATTGCAAGAAAGATTCAGTCTTCTATCTCATCTGAATCTACCCTTTTTTGGTTTAAAAACATCACCCCTTGTCCTGTCACAGCAGGCCCTTCAAAAATGTTTGCATAGGAATTTTGCAGGAAGGTCACCCTGAAGTCTTATCTTCTCCAGCCTGAACAATCCCAACTCTCTCACCCTCTCCTTATAGGAGAGGTGCTGCAGACCTCGGGTCATTTTTGTAGCCTCCTCTGGACTGGCTCCACAGGTCCATGTCTTTCAAGGGCTGCAGATTCCAAACCTAATCAATGGATGCCAGGTGCAGTCTAACCAGACAAGAGGTAGTTGATCATGACTTCAAAGCTTAAAATTTGAGGTGAGGAGAATTTCTTCAATTTATATTTTTCTTATGCAGGACCAAAAAAAAGTGACTAGTGAGATATATTGGTGCTATGCATGTGAGATTTTAGCACACTTCCTCATTCAAGTACCACATTATTTCCCTTTCTCCCCCTTTTATCTTTGTTCAGCTGTCATTGATGTGGTCTACAGCTTGGAGGAGAACCATATAGTCACTGGATATTTTGAACTCAGTCCTTCAGGTTAACTTAGGCTAGGTTTTGTCCTGTAAGCATGCCTCACAGAAATCTGCTCATATTCGCCTAATAGCTTTGTGATTGTCCCACTCTTTTTTTCCTTCAGCTGCATTGAAACTCAATCCTTTAGTTATGGATTCTTAAGTTATGAAGTTATATTTCTTCGTGTATACTTCTGATTTTTTAAACTCTTTATCTTATTAGATTTTTCCCTCATAACCTCTGCCCCCAGTGCAGTCAACTTGATAACGCCCTGGTTTGGAACTCATCTATATCTTACCACTTACTTATTTCCTAATTGTTTTCATGCTTCATGAAATGGGCTAGAAAGCAGGAAAAAACCAAAAAACAAACAAACAAACAAACAAACAAACAAAACCCACCCAAAAAATCCCAATTAGGCTATCTAAGTGAATCTGCTTGGGAAAAACCTAAGTAGTCTTGAAAGTCCAGTCCAGTGGACTTTCAATATCAGTGGTCCAGTACCCATCTGGACCACTGACATTGCCATGCAGAAGGGGCAGCGTGGTGACAGTGTTAGCCTTCTCTTTCAGAAAGGCTTCTGAGAAATTGAATTGCTCCACTGCCTTACCAAAAATTGATATATACTTGTTCATCTTTACTCATGAAACAAACTACTGCTTTGCTGCTGGATACATTCTTTTTATTCCATTTAGGAAAGCTTTCCCCAGGGGGATTTTAGCAGAAAAAACATTTAACTGATGATTTATTTATTTATTAAAGAAGACTAAAACATTTCAGTTTAAGACCTACTTGGCTTGGATAGCAAGTAAAAATTATTATTTTAATGGTCATTATTAAACACTGAGAACTGTCTTCTACCTCTCTTTTCTCTCTTCAAAAATCCACTGCAAGCTGCTGGCTCTGCAGCTTGGGAGGATATTGAATTAAACATAAATTGGATAAAATTTTATTTTATTAAAGACTATCTGGTTTTCAGGTCCAAGATAACAGGGTAAAATACTCTGGTTTCTTTAAAATCTTTATTTTGTGTAAAGACTGGCTCATACTTATATTTTTCAAACTTGATTAATAGAATATAATCAGTGGGAACAAAATAAAAAACAGAATTAAAAACCTCACAAAGCTGAACAAATGGAAACAAACCAACTGAGTCAGATGTCTAGTTTATGTTCAACACTAATAATTTTCATATACTGATTGTTCACCTTTCAATGAATTGTTGCAGGCAAATCTAATACTTTAAAGAAGATATATCCTGGTTAGTGAACCCTTATCTTCTTCTGACATGGAACACATTTCTATAGATTGCACTGTTGAAGCCAAGTAATTGGATAATCATTTTTACCACACACAGACTAGAAATCCCTTTACATTAGGAAAAAAATCCAAACAATCTCTCTTGGGTTTTTGAAGCATATATGGAAATTAAACTGTAAAAATATGTAGGTGAGCAAAGAACTATCAGTGAACAATATTCCTAAATATGGTCTAAAGTATTTAACTGTCAGAGGTAATAATTTATAAGCCGGAGCTGTAGACGTTTTCCTGATAGATCTGAGGGGCATGTTAATGGAGCACAATGAAGACAGATAGCTCCATTCTAATGCCATCCAGCAGACAGCCGCCTCATGAAATGCATCTCTGCCAGTGCCCATCAATCTCACCCTGTTGGCCGCTTGGATTAGACACAGAAAAAGTACTCCTGTGAATCTTTAAAAGGCTGTTTCTGTCTTTTGGGAAGTTGTTTAATGTTGTTTTCATTTTATGGATTTGGCTGGACTTTAATGCAGACAGGAGCCTGAAGGCCTTCCCTTATAAAATCCTGTGAAAATAGACAGAAACATAAATTGCATCTTTAATGGTTTACCCACTTGAGCTTGCCCTGCTTTATAGTGTGTACTGTATATTGGTTTTGAATCAGATATGTAAGTTTATTAATAAATAAGAGCAATTTAACAATTTGATAAGGAACATGTAAAGTTGAACTTTATATGGCCATGTTCCTCCCATTATTACAAACAGTCAATAAATTGGAAATGTTTAAAACTCAGTGGCTTTATAAAAAAAGGCATTACGTCAGTTAATTTTAGATTTCTTTCCTTTTCAGTGATTTCTC